TGCATTTCCCCTACCCAGTAAAACATATTAATAAATTCAAATTGATTTTATACGAGTTTAAAAAATAACATACCTCCAATTTTTTCAAATTATTGTGAATAACATACGCCCTTTCAAATGCCATAAAAAAACTTTTTTTTTTGTTTGCCCCAACCAGAGATATTAACATTTGAAAAGTGCATATTTTAAGTATAAAAACGTCAATAACTCTTGATCGGCGGAAGATATTGACAAGCTCTGTGCAGCAAAATTTGCGCGTTTTTATGATCTAAAAGTTAATTCAGAACATCTTTGCTAAGAAAATCGAAATAAGAAAACTAGAGCAAAATAACTGTTTCTTTTTAGCGCCACTCTGACTCAATTCAAGAAAATAGCTCTAAATCGGCCAATTTAAGAGATACAAAAAAGTTTTTCACAACAAAGTTGCTTAAAATTAGCTCAACTATAACTTTGCCCGAGAATGTATACCTTAATTTATTCATACAAAAAAGTTAGATTTTTGATTTTAATGATAATAAGAACCTTCTAGGGTGGTTGTCATAAAAATGAGGGCCTAACTATAAGAAACAACTTTGTAGAAGAGACTTTTAGTCTAAAGTTTCAATTTCAGGCTCAAAACATATCATTCCACCTAAATCTGCATTCTGGACCACTGTGCAATGGATGCAAAACGTGGTTAGCATTCACACACTCATCACGAAACGGTTGTTTTCCTAATTCGACGACGCATCGACCAAAAGAACTGCTGATAAAGAATAATGAGGATTACCACACAATGCTTGCTGCTGAATGAGCAGACGATCGCAGGACACACATCGAGAGTGGCCTGCTTCTGTCGACAGCCGAATGAACAATCCCTGTGCATAACATTGTAATAAACAATTTTCCCTTTAAATATCCTGCACTATCCGGTATTACGAATGCTTTTCGATTCCCGAGAGTTACTAGTAAATGTTTTTATAAGATTCAACACCGATTTTGGGTAAAACTTTTGGGAAAGTGTACTGTTCATAGAACTTGTTGGTAGCATTTTCCGCTTAATTCTAGGAAATGCTTAATGATATTTGCTTAATGAATTAATACGATCGAGTATACTGTAACAAGCTGCGAATAAGCATTCAGTCGATTCTTTAATGTACTTAATTTGAGTCAACAAATTTGAAAGTGTAAAAAGTAGCCCTACAGTCAAAAGAAGCCCGCCACGACGGGTTTCAAGTATCCAACAAGCCAGATAATTATTCTTTCAGCAATATGTAAGACTGATATAGAAAAGTTCAATTCAAGCTGAACATTGCATTAGGTCCTAAGTAACATTGACAGATTCTCTTTGTTGACATGGCCATGTAAATACATTCTCATGTATTTTCAGCTCACATATCGGTAAAAGAAGCTTTTATCTAGCATCTAATACGACAAACGCAATAATAAACGTTATCTCCTGTTGACGCACTACAATCGAGACCTGTCGATCATTGTTTCGGCTGACGCTTCTTCGGTGGGAGTTGAAGCTACGCTCAGCCACAAGACTCCTGATGTGCCCGTCAAGGTCGTACAACATGCTTCTCGTGCACTCATATCGGCTGAACAAGGGTACGGTCAACCGGCCTCGCCATCGTAGATATACGCCAGTTACCAAATTCCAGGAGATGGTGTATGATCACAGCTGTCTGCTGCAGGAATACCCACCAACACGATGAACCGTCAGCAGTGGTGGGCATTGCAGCTGTTGCTCTAGAGCAGTTCCACATCAAATGACGAATCGGAAAAAAAACTCGCTCTTCTGTAATTTGCATACAATTTAGCGTAATTGTATGTTTTGGGAAGGTTAAAATATGAATGTTAATTGATTTGAATTTGAAACAATAATGAACAGTGCGCAAAACAGTCAGGTTCAATGAGTCATTTTCATATCCATGTGAACTGCCATCCGCCTCATCATCCACTGCCTCGTGATAAATAGTCTGAATGATTGAGAAGTAAACAAGTTACTGACAGCAGAGCACTCAGTCAGTAGCTCAGTCAGCACGTTTATTCATCCGTGATGGTACCCAATCCTTGTTGTGAATGACTGGGCATATATTTTCTATGTAAAAATGCCTCAATTACATGCTGAGTGAGCGAAGGTAAGCAATTTTGGTTTTTATTGATGGCAAATTGCGTTTATTGTAGTTTAAAAAAGTTATCAATGCTATCATCATATAACCAATGTGAAACAAATCAAACTTGAAGTATCTCGAACAATACCTTTCAATACCTTCTCTAGGTTGGGTCAACTAGACTGATTCTAGTCCTAATGAGGTTTTGGTGGATGACATAAACGCAAAGCTGTCTTAACCAGGTTTTTGTTAAAGTTGTTTTATATTAGCCTTGAAGTACTTCATAAAACGTAAAATGTAACTTGTGAAAGCCGTCAATAGAGGCAATGAACCAATATAAATCCGCCCAACAGATATATTAAGGCAAACACAACCCTTTTCACAGAGCGAGTAACAGCCTGCGTTTATGATTTGTAAAAGCTGTTGCGTTTTACAAGCGATACGTTACTGTAGAAGAGCAAGGGTTGAGCTTTGGATACGACTGTCGTGGGGTCGAAACTGGTATTTGTTAATTTGTATGCGAGGAGTGATGCAAGAGTTTGATGCCTCACGGTTTGAGTTTTATTGTTGAAGTCTCTTGAATGGTTTCGAAATATGTCGGAATGAATTTACGGGGCTTCATTATATTTTTGAGTTCACAGCAAAAAAGTTTGAAACCAGTCTCAAACCCGAGATCTTCGGATCCAGAGGCATTACCCGGTCTCCACTATATCATATCACGTCACACACACAATACATACTGCATCATACGTGACGCACACATGCAGTACTGCTAAGCAAGTTGGTATCTTGCAAGAAGCCCATTCTACATTTTCTTGCAAAGCATTGCGAAGGAGCATTTATTTGCGAAAAATCGATTATTGAATACATTTTTTAGTCGTTTACAGTTTTGCCCGATTTAATTATATTTAAGAAACTACCAGAAGCAGATATGACAAAGTCCGTATATCTAATGATACTAATGTTTAATAAAAGAAAAGCAGTAGTTCTCCTGCATCCGATAAGTTTTCAATTTTCAAGACATAAAACAAATCAATCTCACACTCCTATCCAATGCGCCAAACTCTTATAATTGAATTGATATGATGGTAATCAGTTTGCATCCGGATCATTTACCATAAAAACGAACAAAAGTAAAGCATCCCATCGTGAAGCCGGAAAACTTCGCTAGAAACAGACGTTCAAAACAAAACAGACAGTTCCCGCGAAGATGAGGAAAAGCATAAAAAAGGCAGCGTGCGCGCCTGATAACATCACATAATTTCAATAATAAAATAAATAACGAGACATGAATTGAAGTGAACCAAAGTCAGAAATCAAGACGGCACGCGGCAGGCTGGTTGTGTTCTGCTCTTGTTGTAGGAAAATATAAAATAAAACCATCCCTGTCTGACGAGCAGTCACTGAGGACATGGGAATGATCTGGTGGGCGACGCGCCACCACGACGTGCTTGGTCGGTGGAGGACGGAGAGCGAAACGATGAAGAGAACATTTCCTTCTTGTATCAAATTGATATTAAATAAGCATCATTCTCCATTGCCGGTAAATGATGAAATAAAATAATAATAACAGTAACAATGATACGCAGCATCAAATGCGGTCGGTTCGGTCGGGAATCTCCGGAGTTTTTGGTTCGGATGCTCTCACCGATGGTACGTTCGAAGGGAAATTTTCCCTCTTCGATGAGAACGTACGAGAGAGTGCCACTCCTGGCCGTTCCGTCACCCAGTAGATCCTTCCCACCTTTTGCAGCTAGCTGGGTGGGTTGTGGACAGCAGGTGTACAAGGGTACAGGGAAGGAAAAGAGTAAATAAAGTGTGCAATTATTTTCTGCTCTGTCATTCCATTTCATCCTGCGTCCTGCGTTTCGGGAACCTGACCGTTCGGTGTCGGTAGGTGGGAAACTCATGCGGTCGTCGCGTGCCGCCTCGTTATGTGCAGACAGGAAATGAGAGCATTGTGTCTGAGCTTGACAGCGCTGCCAGGCTGTGGAAAATTGATTACATTTAGTTACAGTATAGCAGCTTATCTTTTCCGTTGAAATATTCCATGCTCGGGCAAAGGAGGTTTGCTCAGTTTTGTTTTCCAATGTCTGAATGCTTTTGAATGAGTCAATTAATAGTATTCTTACTAACATCTTATGGCTCTTTTGATTTTAATTAGTTGTGCAATATCTAAAAAGGATTAATACAGTTCATGAAACCTATACAATTAAACTTGCAGCTCATGGAAAATGGTATTGTGAAATATATCGTACCATGCTGAAACCCCTGATCATACAATCTTATTCCATTCAACCCATGCTATCACCATCATTAGTGAGCATATAACCGTCTGCGAAAATTCCCGAACACCCACACTAGTATGTGTGTGTGTTGTTTGCATCGTATGCAGTTTTGTTTTGATCCCTATTCTTCGTTATATCTTCCGACCTGTTTGAAACGAGTCCAACAGACAGCATGCTGCTACAAATCTACCAATATCCGAGAGCACCAAACGAGAGGATGCAGCACGTGAGCGCTCGCTCTCTATTCCAATTATGTCACCCACCATTCCACCACCACGGGGTGGGTGGATGGGTGGTCGGAAAGCATAAACACGGCAATATTCATCCAATTACAATTATGGCGATGGTTATGGTCCAGAGGGTGGCAGGATTCCACACACTGGGAATCATCCCACGCCGTGCGGAGAGTGGAAAACATCCAATTTTCGCTCTCTGTTTTGATTTTTTCGTCCGTAACTGAGCATGACCGTCACCGAAGAGCAGGAGAATGCAAGTTTTGAAGAGAAGTTCGTCCCGATTCATGATGCTCGAGGAGCTCACAACGTCAACGACGGGACTCTGAACTATGTGGAGCACAGCTTGGCTCATCATTTCAAGTTCGGGTTACGAGGTGAAAGGATGTGTTTGCTTTTCGCTGCTACAGTTTCGCGAAGTTCACCTTCAGTCTGTTGGAGCACTCAAACCAGTGTGGACATAGAAAACATCTAAAGTTTGATAGCGCACTGTCTGGGAGTTGGTACGAGGGAGACCTGGCAGTCAGACACACGCTCGAGAGTGGGAGAGCGTAATAAACTAAGTGATATTAGTGCGGTGTGATAGATGGTTGCTTTTGGTGGATTGAACCGCTTGATTGGTATTAAGTGGAAGAGTGGAAAATTGGCATGAAATTGGAGATTTCGCAGACGTTCGGTGGAAATTGAAAGCAATTGAGTGATTCGAAGCAAATAGTGTATGGAAAAAGAGAGTAATATTGATTGTCATTATTATAATTTTTATAACAGGTAAACTGTGCGGGATTTGAAGGTTTAAAATAGTTTAAATATGTGAATTGTGCATATAGAAAGGAAAAACAAGTTTGTGACTACTATTTACGACTTCGCAAACAGCAAAAGTGAGTTATTGGAAGCGAATATTGTAAGTATAGTTGAACAGTAGCTTTCATCGAGCAGATATTCAATTAAAATCTTTGTCAGCTGTTTGTCCGTTGATGGATGGCTCTTTTGGTACTTTTTCATTACTTTTTTAATATGGAATGCTTACGTTATATGCAATTGAATTGTTAGTTAACCAATGTTAAAATAGAAAGTTTATCCCTATCGAAATTCAAAATTTTCGCACCGCAGATCCACACAGAAATTTTTGCATTTTTACAGGAAGATTAATAGCATTAAACTATCTAGTTTAAGATGGGTTAACTGAAAATTCAACCGCATTTTTTTTTGCATTTAATAATAACAAGTAATGGAAAAGCCCAAAAAAGAGCGACCTTATTCATGTTTATCAATAGGTTTAACACCGGTAGCTTGACTTATTTCTTGTCTAAAATGCAGGATAATATTAAAGAATCCCCTATAATACTAGAAACAATACTCGACAAACTTATCGTTATACATAAAAAATTACTAGAGAAAACATCGAATGACACTACTCAAACTTCGACCAAGTTTTGAATAATGAGGTGTTGAGCTATGCAGCGTGTAGCTGGTTTTAAATTGAATTCTGAATTTATAAATATGATAAAACACCGCTTAATTCTAATTGAACGAATGCTACTAAATCATGTACATTACGTCGGGTAAATTTTCTGGATAAAGATAAAAGATAAAGACAGAGTTCGAACATGTCAGCATCCAGAGATTTCAGATGCCCGTTTATACAATTTAACAATCACACCATTTTTAACGTAATCCTATTCTATCCCATATAATTCATCACGTGGATATATACATCCATGGTTTCAGGTATTCGTTTAGACGAATGTATAAGTCATTGCTTGATACACTGTTAACTATAATAAATAACCCAAATTTACTCTTGATACAGAATCACTTTCATATGATTTTTATTCAGATTACATGTTTGTCACCATGTTCAAATAATGTCACGAATACAGTACAGTTATAAAAGGCTTGTCTCAACTCAAATATTTATATGTTTCAAACTTATAGACCTTATGCAAGATATCAATGGCATTTGTTTACTTATTTTTTATGTATAATTGAAATTTTATTTAGAATGTACGAAAAATATTAAAATATGTTGTTATACTGTCCAAACTTGGCCAAATCTTAGCCAATTTCGATGAGACAAGATATTTAAACCAGTTCCTAAATCATTCAATAAATTAGAGTTTGGTCAAAATCCCGTTGGGTACCTACTAGATCTACAAATCTTACCTTGCCATGCAGAATAAGGCCTGGCTGTCCTTTGCTGTTCGCAAAATTCGTCTCCATTCCACTCGATCCTTTTTCGTTGTCTCAACGGAGGCTCCGTCGGTAGTCCACCTGGTCGATCCACCTTGTCCGCTGCGTGCTTCTTAGCATTGTACCAGTTGGTTCGCTATCGATAATGATTTTCACCAGGCTATCATCCGACATTCTTACGATCTGACCAGCCGACCGTAGTCGCCCAATGTTTGCGTTGTGGACGATAAGTGGTTTTCACAGCAAGGGGACATTCGTTTGCTAAAACACATGTTTTTCGGAATTATGAAATCGCTAGATGTTATGATGATATTTTGCACTCGCAATTCAAGTTACATGAAGAGATTGTAAAGTATGTATTTTTAACACAAAACCTGTCAATTTCACTTTCACAGAGTCATAATTGTATATTCAATGAATATTCACAGTTCACGAAGAGTAAATATTTACCACACATAAAATGGCTGATTGTGACTCTCTAAATGGTAAAATGACAGGTTTTATGCGTCAAACACAAAAATTACAACCTCTTCTTGTAACTTACAAGTACAAAACATCATCATATCATCTAGTTAATTCATAATCCTAGAAATATTTTTTAAAGCAAACGAATGGCCGCAACTCTGGACACAGAACCCATGATACGAAGAAAAAAACATGGATTGATTGATCAACGGCACATTAAGATGAGAAATTTAAACTGTTATCACAAGGGCCCTACTGGAAGTGGTTTTGATGTATCCGAATGTAGTATGTTCGATCAATCGAACCTTTTTTCCCTTGATTTGTTTTGCTGGATTTGTTTTCCGTCGATCTTATTTTCCGTACTGAGTATCAATGCTACCAACGCCAGGAAGGCAGCTCCCACACCTGGACCATGCCTATTGACCCATCAACTCATGGACCGGGGACCAACGGCTTTACTTCCCTTCTGGGGGAAGGCGTGATCAGAGATGTTATGTCTTAGAAAATCTCGGTGGCGCCGACTGGGATTGACCCCAGGCCCTTTGAAGTGAGAGGCAATCATGCTTACCACTATACGACTGGCGCAACTAATTAATCTATCCTTAGGATGGATGTCATATTAAGTGCTCAGAACCACATTAACTACACCCGGTTATATTCCGGGTTTCCCTGCGGAAGTGGGCAGTTTCTTACTTGGATCAACATCCCTCATGCAAAACTCGAATCCTTTGAAAATTAGTACAAAAATGCTCAATATTGGTCTTTTTGAATGCTCAGGTAAATGTTATAGTTTTTTTTTCGTTTTTATAGTGAAATATTTTTATAAAAAAGTCTCGTTACCACCTCTGGCCCAGGCCCACATTGGTAACATCAGGACATGTTATGGATACCCCCGGCAAGTAACAAGTTCAAAGGTGTCATATCGAGTGCCCTGAACCACATTGGCCATGTTAAGGGTACCCCGGGTAAATTACCAGTCTCTGACTTGGAGACCGAATGTCATAGAGAACAGGCAATTATTATGTAACAGCGAGTTTGAAGTCAAACTCGTCGCTACATCAGAACAGTGGGAAAATGAAAGAAACGGCAAATTCGCTTTACCAGAACTTTTCTCAATTACATCGTTCGAGCACATCCCATCCAGAGACACTTCAAATCTTATGAAAATTCAAAATCAAGTTCATATGAAGTGCCCAGGACTACACTGGCCTCATCGGAATATTTTACGAGTTCTAGGTTCTTACAGGGGCCATTAAATCACATGAGAATTATATAATATATTGAGTTCATATGCCCACATTGGTCACATCCGGATAGTAGTGGTACCTTCGGGGAAGCCAAAACTTTTTTTTTTATTGATTTCCGTCGATCTTGTTTTTTGTGCTGAGAATCAATGCTACTGACGCCAGGAAGGCAGCTCCCACACCTGAACCCTACCTATCTACTCATCAATCCATGGACCGGGGATCAACGGCTTTACTTCCCGTGATCAGATGTTTTAAAGCCGAAACCTTCGGCCAAAAAATATATCTTATACTTATACCAAAAAATTTCAAATCAAATGTGATTTCAAAATGAACTTTTCTGGTGGTTACGTTTACAGCAATGATACCGATACCTTTCAATAACTTCGTATAACCGTAATACCAAATCTTTCTCATCCATCGTCAAGATGGATGTTTAAGGTATACTTTGGTGCAATAAGACTACAGAAAAAGCACGTGGGTTTCGTAATTCGAGCAGATTTTCAAAAAGGGGGCTGACAAAATCGGGCCATTACTGTAGTACCGTTGGTAATACCCTGCCAAATCTCGGGAGCAGCCCATCAGTAGTGTTCGGAAAGTCATTCCCAATTCTCATTCATTGAGCACTTTTGAGTGATTTAAATCACGTGTGAATTTGCAATTAAATCTTACGCTTGAGATTTTTATGCATTTTTACGCTGGCACAACGCCAACAATTCATTCCATCTCAAAACTCATAAAATCTGGTCAAACGTCAATTGATAGCATGCACATGAATGTATGATCAGTTTTCCAACCAATAGCGTTAGAATAACATATAAATTAATTTTTTAACCGAAATACTCCTCGGCATTTTTTGTGAAGGTGAGTGTCGCAATGCAAAAGTCATAGGCGAATAATCTCACGCATAAGATTTTATTTTTTGAGTTTTTTCGAACACTGCCCATCAGAAAGTGTATTCAATTTGATTTGAGCCAAAACGTATAACATTTGTCACAAATGTACAAAACATGAAATTTTATAAATTTTTTTTTTTAAGTTTTACTGACTATTTTTCACGTGCTGTAATTCACCTTTGACGTAAATCTTGATACGTAAACAAAAATTTCGTGTAAAATTATGTTATCCGAATCCGAAACTTACACATCTAAATGAAAAGCGCGTTTGAAGAAATTGAAAGCCTTTTTATTATAAAAAAAAACTATCTAACTAAATTTAATTCTCGAGTGTTTCAATAGATTCAGCTCTCCCACACCTGAACCCTACATATCGACCCATCAGCTCATGAACCAGGGACCAACGGCTTTACTTCCCTTCCGAAGGAAGGCGTGATCAGAAATGTTATGCGTTAGAACATCCCGGCGGCGCCGACTGGGATTGAACCCAGGCCTGCTGGGGTGAGAGATTGATTTATTTAAAATTAATTTTATTTTTCACAAGCCACAATTCACTTATCAAGGTGAATCCTGATCATTCAAGATCAGCTGATCAATCCCTATAACAAAGCTCCCCTCTCGTGAGCTTTGTGGGTCTGCAGAGGTATACTCGGTTTCTAAGACATGCAGCAAAGATCACGCTCTAACATTATCTGATTCCCTGATTGCATCCTTAAATATCTGGAATCATTGAAAATTGTACAGTGCGAATGAAAGGTCACTCCCAGTCAGTCATTCAGTTGATTAATTGTGCAATTTCACTGGTTTGGATCATGGAGTAGCAACCAGTGATATGTGCAGTCAGTCTAAGCTAAGCCAAGCTAAGCTAATTGTGTTGCTTGGGAAGGTCAAAAGGTCAAAAGGTCTAAAAGTTAAAAACTGGTGAAAATAGGGTAGTATGCCAGGTTTTGGCTCTAGTGGACTTTATTTGGCCCAATCTTTCTTAGCAACATATCGGGTGAGCTTTTTCCTTTAGAAAAAAGAGAAAACTCTTAACTTTCATTCGATTATTATGTAAAACATTATATGCTGGATACGGGACGGTCCATCAGGGCACCCGATTGAAG